GCTCCCCCTCTAAAAATGTTGTTAGTGCCTATTGCTAAATGTCTTACATATTGTTTGGGCTTGGCCCCTTAATTTATAAACATATTTTACATACACAAACCTGTTGGTTTTAATGTGTTCTAACATTAACTTTTTAATCTAAAATATAAAATTCCTAGGCAACATAATTAGACATCATTTTTATTGGATATATTGACCAATAGAGCAAATAAATTATTTCATATTAATAGCTGGTTTTGAAGACACACATATTGGTACACATGGAGTTTAAACAATCAGTTTTTTTCACAGTTAAAAATAAATGTTTTACAGTAGCCATCTTAAATAGAAATATAAAAATATTTTATGGTAACTATTTGAAATAGAGAATAAATATTTTACAGTAACCATTTTAAATAATAATACCACGACCTCTCTAATATTCATGCGTCATCGTAACCTAAAATGAACGAGTTTATTAGTTTGTTCCAAACATAAAGCATGTCGAATATTCTTGACAGAATTGTTGTATTGCTGTACTTGGATAATCACAAGTAATGAGTTACTCAATCACTCGGAAACTCCTGCACGACGGCGATACGTCCTTCCATCTTGGGGTTGGGTTTGGGTGTTAATATTATATAGGGGACCTAGAGTCCTATTGTATTATCACCTGCCCTTGGGCGAATCATAAAATAAATAAATAAATAATAAATCTTTGGTTCAAATCAATGGCGCTACTTGCAACAACACTGCTTTATTAGAAATTGCATGATAATCTTCATGTTCTGTTATGCATTTTATGTGTTCGATAGAGCCATCGAATGCCATTTTTCCCGATGCATGGAGAACTTCTCTGCATCAGCGATATTCCAATGCTCCAAGGTTCTAGCTTCGGCAGCGTTCACATTTACACCTCGTACATCAATAAGAAATCACAAAATATTAACTTCCAAATAATTATTTTCTTTTATTTCATATCCTTTGAAATGGTCTTACCAAGTGCTAACAGGAATGATTCCATCTTGTCGAGCTGCAAGTGTTTTTGGAGACTATCCGTCCAGGCCTAATTCTCCTACTGGGTCTTCTTCGTATTCGTCGCTGTCGCCTACGATCGGCTCATCTTGATAGGGAACGTATTGGTTGAAGACAACTCCTGTGTCTTCTTCATTCTCGCTGTTTGAAAACTGAACAGATATGGACTCGTCACTCGCGTATGAGTCGCTTTCGTCGTTAGAACTTGCCATGTTTTTCTTTTTATTTACTCGTTGCTATGCAATCAACTCACTGTAGTTTTGTTGGCGAAGAACGCTTTGCAACCAACGTGACGTCACGATTCGTGCAATCTCGGCCCAGTCTCCAGACAAAATCCGTCTAGATAAGCTATCTTTAAGCTCAAAATTCAGGCCTTAAATTTGGTTTTAGCCCCGTTTAAACTTTAAAAATGTTTAAGGAACATATTAGTTTACTGTAAACAAAAGTAAACCGGTACGCTTCACATGCCCTTTAAGACAAGAATATCAGTAGTAGATCTAGGATTTTTGTTAATCATAGTTATTAGTTGTTCATTAAAGTTCATAGTTTTTGAATGTTCTTCGAAGTAGAATGGATACAGACTAGTTAAATTAGAAACAGCAAAGTTTTTTTGGAGAGGATATCACGTGGTGAGCAGCACTTAGGACAGATGAACTTCCATGGTCACGTTTTACCAGCAATTTGCAGTAAGCATATTTCGACATCCCAGTGAAGACTTAGGATGTATCTTTTAACACGGAGTTTTAGGCTTTCTATCCTGCATATATTTCTAGCTTGTTGCGAGGCCCATCTTCGCTAGCATACCCTACATTAACTATACGAGTAATTGAAGTCAAGAAGTCATCTTCCAACTTTTAAGTTAAAGAAGATAACTGGAGAATTAAATTTTATTTAATTAATTTGATGGATTAATTCCATTCATTACTTAATTTAATTAAATAACTTAAATTGGCTTTTGAGGAAACCGCATCCTGACTTCTCCTAGTGATATCTTGTGGTTTGGGAAAGATACTAAGAAAACATTGATTTCTGATCTGCAACTCTTAAAAGATACCTGTGTGTTATCATTTGAATACTTTTCTCAAGCTTAATGAGGCTCTGGGTAGTTTTGATCTGGCACACCTAGCCGCATTGAAACGGTTACAACTCCTTCTTGAATAACTTGATCTGCAAGCGCTTTCCACACAATGTCTGGAAAGGATTAAAGGTTTCAAAAATGATAAATTAGTTTAAAGCGGCCTTTTCATTATGACGTAGTGATGACATCATAGAAATCGTTTACCGCTTATTTTCTCGAAAACTGGACCACAACTAACAGCACACGACAAGGAATAACACGGAAGTCAAGCGTGAACAATCAACAAGCAGCCGAGACCGAAAACAGTTGTGAGCGTACTTATTTTTATTTGACTGCCTTAAAACCYTTCAATGCATATGAAATTAAAGGAGAATATTTGTAAAAGACACATCTTTTAGTGACGATTTTTTGGATGCCGCTTTCATCAATATTTTCCATCGCTTTTGACAACAAATGGGGTCATTAATTAGCTTCATATCAAAAAATCCATAACGTTAGAAATAAAGTCACAATTTGATTCATACTCAATAAGGACAGTGTCTATATCCGTATCTATATTCTAGCTACTAAAAATATTGAATCCACTAAATTAAAGTCCCGATTTTGAGGGTATAAAGTTGACACGCTGGAAATAATAATAAAAGTGCATGAAAATATTCATCGCGTAATGTTTTGAAAACGCTCTCATACATTTTTTTCATATTGTTATATGTTGGGTGCCTCGATGAATACTATCAACTGGTGCAAGTCGCTTTGAAAGTTTMGGTCTAGTTTTCGAGAAATAAGCAAGTTTTCAAAAAATGAAAAATGAATTCAAAAACTACAAAGATAATTTAATTTGCTAAAACCTTAAATGGCCATAAGGTGTGGGATTCTGCTCTCTGTATCTGTCAATTTTTTCAACTATTTAAACGAAAACTCTAAAATTGAAAAAAATGGAAATCAAAGTTTAATTTTAATTAATAAAACAATCGAAAATTGGGGCCAAATTTAATAAATCGATAATTCAATTTTATCAAAAAGACAAATGGCCATAAGGTACACGCATTCTTAATGTTTAATTTAGAAGTTAATTGAATGTCTGGAAATAAGAAAAGAGTTTTGATTTTCCATCATTGTTTGTATGAAATATAAAATGAAATCCAAGTGTTATGACAAAAATAAATTCCTTTATTACATATATAACTAGATTTCTATACATTAAATCTCTATTATAAAAATCTCTATGCTTTATATTTCACTGGTGAAAAATGCAGTACGACCAATCAGCATCGCATACAGCTTTTCACAGCGTAAAAAATATAACCAATCAAAACATAGAATTGACCAAACCAACCAATCATAAAACAGGCAATTGTGTCATTTGAATGGCTTCCCGCCAAAGCAAATATGCGTTTTCTGTAGTTTTGTTGATGTGAACAAAATGGCGAGTCGTTTTGTGCCACTACCGAGATGTGCGGGTAGATGAGTTTATTCAAAACCAAGCAAACATAGAAACAAAACATAGAATTGACCAAGCCAACCAATCATAAAACGAGCAATTGTGTCATTTGAATGGCTTCCCGCCAAAGCAAATTTGCGTTTTCTGTAGTTTTGTTGATGTGAACAAAATGGCGAGTCGTTTTGTGCCACTAGATGTGCCGGTAGATGAGTTTATTCAAAACCAAGAAAACAAAAACACACTAAGCAAGACGCGGAGAGACCTGGTTTGATTGACTGAATATCTCGAGACCAAAAATGTGCAGCATAACCTGGAAGAACTCCAGCCAAGAGATTTATACGAGCTGCTTTCTGCTTTTCTCATTGAAGTAAGGAAGGGGGTACGAGCCAACGACTTTAAGGTCGTTTATATCGAGCTTTGACCGTTACTTGCGAAAGAAAGACTATCCAACAACGATAACAGAAGGGCAAGAATTCAGATGGACAAAGGAATTAATACTATGAATCAAAGTTCAACTTTTCATGAAGAAACGACAACCAAGCGCCACCGTCGTTATTGCATCTTGGAGTCGCTGGACAGCGACTAATTGAAACAATCAAATTACATTTTTAAAATTCATATTGACTATTTGTATATCCATTTTCCATTTATAAACTGATGTGCAGAGTTTTTCCATTTTGTATATTTGACATTGCATCTACTTAACTTATAAACTTAAAACTTTTGAAAGTTTCGACAAAAATTGTCCTTTTTACTCACTTAAAATAAACGTGTTTGCATGTGAATTCTAGCCAAAGAAAGTGCTTTGCACGGGGTTATATTCACGAGTTGTTTGTGTAAAACCCTCACTCGCTTGAAGACTCGCTCGTTCGTGTTTTACACAAACAACTCGTGAATATAACCCCGTACGCCGCACTTTCTATGAAGTAATCTTTATTTCCTTATCGTACCTCAGCAGTCATAGTAGGAATATATCTTTCCAATATGGCCCACTTTCACTCCGACAAATACCAGTATCTTAAATACTCTAGACAAACAACTACAGACAACTATTGAAAAAGAGACAAAGATTAGCCATGCTTCTTTTTGTTGTTGTTGTTGTTGTTGTTGTTGTTGTTGTTGTTGGCCAAAAAAAAAAAAAAACTCAAAATACCCCGTTACAACTGTTTTAATCCTCTTTAATTAAAATTAACCTTTTTTCAAATTTTATTAAATTTCAAGTTTGTTTTTTTTTTAAACAGTAGAAAATCTACATTATTTGACTGGAATATGCAACCACGATACCAAAGGTTATTGAAAATTATTGAAAATTTAGATGGACTTCACTTTGTTCTATAATTTTAGATCTAAGATAAAACGTTTGGTAGTACCATGTGGGATGTTCAGGGTCAGAGCCCTCACTTAGAAGCTGTCATCACAATGGATGGGGAAGTGTTCCCTCTGGCTGCAATCACTACAATGATGCTGGTGTCGTGTGCACAGGATACCAAGGTAAAAACAATTGAATTTCATTTGACTTTATTTTATTTTACTTAAAAATTTCGGAAACAATATATTCTTTTATTGTTTTACTGTGTAAAGGTTAATCACTTTTTAAGTCAAAAAAAGAAGGAAAAAGCACATACCCTTGGATAAACTTTTTCAGTGTTGCACTGTCTTAAAAAAGAAAAATATGTACGTATCTTAGAAATGCATTGTCTCGCGTATTTTGTTTTCCAGTTCGTTTAGAGGGCGGTCCCAGCTCCAAAGAAGGCCGTATTACTATCAAATTTAAGGATACATGGGGCTCAATCTGTAATAATGGCTTTGACAACCGAGAAGCAAATGTGGTCTGTAGAATGCTTGGTTATTTACGTGCTGCAGCAACAAGAAGCTACTCAAAATCGTCGTCGCAGACTGCATGGTTGAAAGACCTTTCATGCCAGGGAACTGAAAACACAATAGAAAATTGCACCCATTCTGATTTTGAGAGTCAGACGTGCCCAAACAACCAGGTTGCTGGAGTTCTTTGTGCAAATGGTAAATATACGCAATTCTAAATTAGGCAGATATATTCTAAATTATTTTCCTTGTTAAATCAAACCAAGAATGTTCCAATGTTTTGTAGACCGAATTCCCAGGAATTCGAAAAACAAATCACGACTTGAACATCAAATTATTATTTTTTTTTTCTTTTGCAGAACCAACCACAACACCTCCACCACCCACAACACCTCCACCACCCACAACACCTCCACCACCCACAACACCTCCACCACCTCCACCACCTGAAGTTAGTATTGTGGCAAACCATAGAGTGCAAATCACTTATAATGGTTTTAATAGGTCCGTTTGCTCCGATGGCTTTGATACAAAAGATGCACGAGTAATATGTAGAATGAACGGATATGTCGATGTAGGTCAAATCACTTATATTGACAGTCAAACTCTATGCGCAAAATTAAGACAAGTTTGGATCTTGAACATGACGTGCCAAGGACACGAGAAGAATATAACAGAATGTAATATCTCTTGGAATTTGAATGGTTTGTCTTGTCCAACTAACTATTATGCTGGTGTAATTTGTAAACCAGGTATGCAACATATTTCATTAGCTAAAAAAAAAACTCTGTTATAAGAAATCTAAAATTTACAAATTAATTGTTCAAGTTCTTTTTTCAGGAAATCTAAAATTTACAAATTAATTGTTCAAGTTCTTTTTTCAGTATTGGATTTGCGACTTGTTGGCGGAGCTAGTAATACCAGTGGTCGTCTTGAAATAAAAGTATCTGGAAAATGGGGCACAGTATGTGACAAGGGCTGGGATATCAATGCTTCTGATGTTGCTTGTAGAATGCTTGGATTTGCAAGAGCCCTGAAATTCGAAAAGTTTCAACCAGGAAACACATTACAACCTATTTTGCTTCAAAACACATCATGCGTTGGCTGCGAAAGGTCTCTTGATGATTGTTATCATCCTGCGTGGGGTACAAAATCTACCTGCGATCACAGTAATGACATTGGATTAGTGTGTCTCCCAGGAGGTAATTAGGTTTTTTGTGTTCACTTCTCATATAGTAAGAAAAATTTTTTTTATAAGAGGTGGTTTGGCTCAATTTTTGATGCACTTTTCCTTCAAAATCAGCAACCTAAAAATAAAAAACCTGAAAATACTGCAAATATTTGCGTCTTTTATTGTTTACAGGGCCACCAAATCTCTCCGCTAAATTGATGGCAGATGGAAGAATAGAGATTAGTTACTATGGTGTTAAAAGATCCATTTGCTACGATGGCTTCGATACTAAAGATGCAGGAGTAATATGTAGAATGAACGGATATGACGATGTTGCGTACATTACCCAAATCCCTAGCCAAGCAGGAAACTCAAGGACAGAAGAAGTATGGCTTTTAGACATGGCTTGCAAAGGAGACGAGAATTCCATCAAAGGATGCAGTAATTCCTGGAACTGGGAAAACAAGAATTGCGCAAAAAATAACAAATTACGAGCTGGAATTGTGTGCAGGAGAAGTATGAACAAAGAACTTAATTTCCAAATTACGAAATTCCTTTTTCCTTTTTAAATATATTTTGACTTATGTCTTTTAGTAAACGACACACTAGATGTTGAATTCCGTCTTGAGGATGTAACCACTCCAGCTCCATATTCTGGACGCCTAACCGTAAAGTATTATGAAACATGGGGAAATATATGTGCTAAGGATTTAAAGCTAGAAGACGCACATGTCATCTGCAGAATGTTAAACTTTACCGGAGCACTGACGATTTCTCATTGGGGTAAACATACTGGTAACGTAAGTTTTGAGCTTGTCAATCACTGCAAAGGAACAGAAGTCTCCATGCAAAATTGTACAGGATTAAAGCTAGAACAGGTTAGCACATGTGAAGAAGGCAATTACGCAGGGGTTGTTTGCACTCCGAAGATTATAGGTAAGTTCTGGCATTTGTTCAATCATCAGAAAATTAAATAGATTCTTTATGCAAACGATTTTGTTTTTCTCTACAGTCACACCAACACCTTTACCTCAAAATGTACGTCTAAGCGGTGGTGCAGACAATGCAAGTGGCCGAGTTGAAATTAAAAGACACAAAATTTGGGGATCGGTTTGCAATTCGGGATGGGATATGCGTGCAGCTAATGTAGTATGTCGTATGAAAGGTTTTGATAGCGCAATTACAGCATATAAGTCATATGGCGAAGGAACTGGTCCAATATGGATTTCTGGGCTTCGATGCAAAGGAAATGAAAACAATATTGAAGATGATTGCGAAAAGGATGTACAAGAAAAGACAACTTCATGTAACCATAGCATGGATGCTGGAGTGGTCTGCCGTCGTTATAAAGGTTAGAGACTAGAACAATTACTTGTTAAAAACCTCCCATGAATATACTTCAGAGTATTAACTTCTAATAAATTCTATTAACACAGATATAATAACAGTCGATCTGGAAAATCGAACATCAGACTATGATGGCAGAGTGACGCTAAAGGTAAACGGCAGCGCGGGATCAATTTGTGGTAATGGTTGGAACAAAAAGGATGCTGATGTCGCTTGTCAAATGAAAGGATTTAAACAAGCTTTAGTACCCATCAGCCATTTTGGAGGAGGACCAGCCAAAATCTGGTTGTCAAACGTACGCTGTAGCAATAGCGACAAATCACTGAAAGATTGTAATCATGATGGATGGATAAACAACTCATGTCCTAAAAATCACCATGCAGGAGTGATATGCGAACGGCCTGGAGGTTTGTTAAAGCCCTTTGAATAACCATCTTTTAAATGCTGACTCGTTTTTAATGTGCAAAGGTATTGATTCCTTTTGCTTTATCACTACAGTCAACGACCCAAATTTTGGTATGAAATTGGTTAAGGTTCCTGGAACAAATCTAAGTAAAGTGGAAGTCCAGTACTATGGTGTTTGGGGAGCTGTATCCGCTAACAACTGGAATCTGGCTGACGCTCATGTTGCGTGCTGGTTTAATGGCTCAGGAAAAGCATCAAGAGCAGAAGAAATTACAAACAATGACACACTTCCCATTTTGATTGATAATCTTAATTGCCGAGGAAGTGAGAATTCAATAGAAGAGTGTGGTTTCCAATGGGGTATCTCTGGTGCTGGCCAATCCAAATTAGCTGCAGTTGAATGCACCAAAGTTAAAATAGGTAAAATATCGAGTTTCTTCCTTTCATATCCTCAAATGTATATATTGAGATTAATCTTTATTATTTTGATTTCTAAACAGATAAAGACTCAATGACAGCGACAATAGGAACAGTATCTGGACAGAATGAAAGATATGGACAAGTGAAAATACAATACAAAAGCAAAGAATATGCTGTTTGTGGCGATGATACATGGGACAAAAACGATGCCGAAGTAATCTGCAGGATGAATAATTATCGAAACGGAGCAATGGCAGCGATAAGGAAATACACAATTGTTCCAAACAAGCAATTCCTTTATGGATTTGAATGCCGTAGCACTGAAACTGGATTAGACGAGTGTTTCCGCGTTCAAACTTTGAATTGTCCAGGAAACTTCATCGCAGGTGTTATGTGTAAACCAAACAAAGGTAATGAATATAAAATCATTTGTAAGGTAGGCATGTGAAATATTTAATTAAAATCTTCCCTTTGTGTTTCAAGGTGTACCGCCACCAATGAAACTGCGGTTAGCAGATAATGGACGTGTAGAGGTATCATATGGTGATAAATGGGGTACAATATGCAATGACGGTAACAGCCAGAAAAATGCTCGGGTCATATGTCGCATGCTCGGGTATGTCGATTTTGATGCGTATGGTCCAACGTCCAAAACAAGTAGTCTAATCTCTTGGCTTGGAAACATGCAATGCAAAGGAACTGAAAAATCCATTGAAAAATGCAGTCCAAGATGGGGGGAAGCAGATTGTAATGATGACGAAATGCTTAGAGTCACTTGCAAGAAAGGTAATTTCATTATTATGACACCACTTAATTGCCCCAGTGTTTGTAATTGATTCCTTATGGGGTGTTTTCATTTGCAGCTGATGCTCCTCACTTCCAAATCATCGGGAACGATGCTATTACTGACTCAACTGTCAAAATCCACTTTCAGGACGTTGGATCCATTTCAGGCTTAAAAGCGTATGTTTCAAAACAAAAACCATCTTATACACTTAACATTATATTCGACAGAAATAGGTATAATTAATCTTTTTTTGTTTGTTTGTTTGTAGCATCTATCAAATTGCTGTTGAAAGGAGGCCATATGAAGAGCGTCTCCAATCCTTTAATACTCAACAAAAGCGCTTCGAATTTAAGATAGTAAATTACACCACAAGTGCTAACCTTAAAAGCGATTCTTACATTACTGCTGAAATAGATAGTTCATATCTACCCAAGAACAACTTTACCATTGGTGACCTCAGTTTCACCCAAGGAAATGATGGGTTTACTAATGAGCCGCTTCAACCAGAGACACCATATAGAGTATATGTGAGGATCGCAACTGACTCTCATGATAAGGTTTGTACGTCATACTTCCTTATCTCATGTATAAAAAGCACTATTGTGGCATTCAAATAACCCTCTGTTGATGTTTAATTTTTACTTTTTTCTTATAGAAAACAAGGATTTTTGGTGATTATTCTTACGTGGCCTTCAAAACAAACAAAGTCTTCGCTAAAGGTAATTTGATAACTTGTCTTAAAGCAAATGACTTTCTCCTCTTTTGCCATTCTAAAAGCCACAGACACATCCTTTGTTCAATTTATAGGTCGAGCTGAAAAACTTACCAGTTCGAGAGGTGGCGAAGCAGTGATAGGAATGTCCATTGTGATAATAATGTTGATTGCTGTTATCATCTGTGCCTCTGTCTGGTTCATAAGAAAACAAAGGAATGAGGAAATGGACGCTTCTGATAAAAGTCAAGGTAATCACATTTTAAAATCATATCATTGTTAACTTAAGGCAATATAATTTGGAGTCAAAGATAATTTCATATTATTCAAAAACCACCAAATCTGAGTCAAATATTTCATTTCTGTTAGGACTTGAGATGACAGACAATGGTGACATGCGTACAGTTAATGATATACCAGAAGGCTACTACCAGGCACCGCTACGTGAAGAGCGYAACGAATACGTCACTTCTCCAGAAAAGGATAATAAAGCTGCCTATCAGTCTTTGGTAACTCGTACAAGGGTATGTCCTGTCAAAACTCTCAAACACTTAATTCTATTGTAAATTAATTGCWATCATATTTTTAATCCGCAGATTGCTCGTAACAAGCAAGAAAACGAGTCTCCTTTGTACGTTGAAATCAGGAGTTGAAVAGATGATTCCCGMATGAGCMGCAATTAAACWAAAAACCATAGTTTCTCATAAATAAAYGTAGAAAATTGCGTGCTTTGTTTTATTTTTATTAAAACAATAGAGAAAACGTAGAATTTGATAGGAGTTTGAACAAGCAAAGGAAATAGCACTGTAAACAGTGCTATTACAGGCTAGGTAATCTGGTGTCTCTGAAGGTAAACACAGGGACCCCAGGAACAATGTTCTTACTCATTCACAATCTACTTGTTTTCTCCAAATTTTTCAGGCTTTCACAATTGCCATTCATTAAATAAATAGTTAAAATATTAACCAAAAGGGAAAATATTGGAATTCACAATTGAATTAATTAGGGTACTTGAAATAATGAGGGTATAAAATAAAGGTGTAAATTTTTGAAGCATAAAAGTTGTTGTTGTCGTTTTTATTAGWGTCATTAGCATAATRAACATAACACAACCCATATTTTTGTCGGGGGAGGGGAGGGAAGGATCTTTTTCCTATAGTGCAAGGCAATATGGCCCCTGTCAATTTAACACAGGAAACCCAACAGAGAAACACATTGAATGTTTACAACACCTGTATGAATTCTAATCAGAACCAAAACAAAATGTAMAATCTTTTCCATGACCGAAGTACTKCTGTCAGCAGTATAAATACGACCYATTATTTTGCATACGAYGTCYAAGRAAARAGAATCAGTTGACTGCAGGCTCAATTKTAATAACAGGAACTGATGAAACAAATTTTTGACATACTTTGATGCAACATTGAGACCTCAAGACATTAAGACACGCTAAATTAAACTAAAGCTTGTGTGCTGAAAACAATTGGAAATCTAGGTTGGCAACAGGAAATTAATTATCACRATTCAACCTCTTTTCAACACCTTTTAAAAATTAACTATTTTATAACTTGATGATTATTTTTTCCCTTCAGCATTTTGACATATTTTAATAAGAATGAAATATTACTGATTAAAGTATTTATTTGCACTCACACATCTGTACTGAAACCAAAAATTTCTAAAGTCTAGTTTGGCAACAGGAAATTAATAAATTATCACATTTCAACCCTTTTTGACACCTTTTAAAAATTGACTAGTAATTAACTAATAATTAGATTTTTTCTTCAGCATTTTGACATTTAATAAGAATCAAAAACAAATTTTAAAACCATGAAATATTGATGATCATAGTATTCATTTGTGCTCACACACCTCTTTACAAACAAATAAGAATTTACAACAGTATTACCTTTTTCTTGTTCTCCAAGTGCTTTTCATTAATGCTCTTGGTTGAAAATGGTTTATTTTTTCCACAAAGATACTACTGCATAATGACACCATTGCAACAAAAAGAGAAAAAAGTATTATAAGCAAGTGTTGTCACC